TTCCAGCTATACCTCTTTTTAGGAAGTAACTGGAAGCCAAAACAGAGTTTGACATGAATGAGCTGCATAGGAGTCTTATAGTCTGTGAATTTCTCTGTCTATATTTTTAACTTATTCGTAAAGTTCCAGTGGCTAAGATCCACCGACTGGTTCAGAATGCAAAATTTTAGAATCGAATCGACATATAAAAGTAGAAAACACAGAAGACACTACAGCTTATGCAGCTACAGTATTCTATGGACTTGTACATTTTGAACAATCCATTACGCAATTTAGGAGAGAGGACATATTACTCCATATGAAACATTCAGATTAAATAGTGATTCTGTCAGGACCAAATCCTCGGAACTGCAAGAGAGTATGGGATTATAGCACATACTTATCCGCAGCTTCATCAAACAAAATTCCCAGAATTCCTTCCAGAAAACTAGGATGGTTACACAGGTATATATTTAATGAAGCCAGAGTAAGAGAAATCATACCATTTCTCATCTCTTCTGCATTTAGGCAAGCGGGTTAGCAGTAATTACATCAAGGTTAAATATTGCAGTAAACATTAACAGCAACAAAATTATTTTTAAATTTCTAACTTTAACACAAAGACATTAATTTCAATTATAGTGCTCCAAGTGCTATTCTAGCTATTCTAGCTTACTACACTAATATGGCAAAGGCCTTCATATCCCTCAGTTCTAGCTTACTACACTAATATGGCAAAGGCAATAGGTTTACTGCCTTCAACAGCAGCTAATAATTGCAATTTGGATTGTGTACAGAATCCTCATTCCCACTCATGACTATGGTATTTTTTTATTTTTTTATTTTTTGGCAGGGTGAACATTGTTGTAGAATTGTGGATGCAGGCTGTAAGCATCACTTTGCTTTAGACTTCAATATGCCTCAGATGCCTGAGTAGCATCTTATTCTCTACCCTCGTACTTTTGTTGCATTTCCCCCTCATATTTAAGGTAAAGTAGGCTTCATGCTTTCCCATTATGCTGCTACAATGAAGCATGAAGTTGGTGTTATTTATCAGGAATAAATAATAGGAAGCAGAACTCCTACAGATAAGAAAATAGATGATGGAATGGAAACGAACATCTTTGATGTAATACTTTTGGTTACTTTTGTGGGTGTTGTTAGTTTGCTTCATTGGGAAACAATATTGCTTGCGAGCACATATATTCCTTCCTTTTTGGCTAAGAACAGTTGTTTTGTTTTGTTTTTTTAATAAAATGGTCCCATATTAGGAATGTTACTTGTGTGTTTATATTTTTAAAAAAACCCACAAAAGTGGCAGATTTTCCCTTTTTGTGTCCTTTAGTTAATTCCCAAAAGAGAGCCTCTAAAAATGATTAGGCATCCTTCAGTCTTGAGAGACTATGGTAACGCACTCTGTATGGAGGACTTGGAAAAACATCTAATGTGGCTGAGAAGGCCAATTCGAGAGTGACAATCCCTTCCACACTGAAAACAAATACAGTGGGGTCTCTACTTAAGAACGTCCCTACTTAAGAACAATCCAACTTAAGAACAGCTCCATTTGCTAAATTTTGCTTCTACTTGAGAAAAGAAATCCAAGATAAGAACAGGAAAAAAAAACTTTCCTGCTCTTTTTTTAACCTTAGGTCATCTTAGGTTAAAAAAATTCTCCCCCTAGTGGTAGAGTACGTATTAACCAGCTTTGCATTAGTTCCTATGGGAACTAATGCTTCAATGTATGAACGCACCTCTACATAGCAAAAAAAAAAACAGCCAGAACGGATTAATTGGTTTTCAGTCCATTCCTATGGGAAATTTTGCTTCAACTTAAGAACGTTTCAACTTAAGAACACCATTCCAAAACGGATTAAGTTCTTAAGTAGAGGTTCCACTGTAGTTTCTATGGACGGAAAAGAGCAGATACGGATTAATGGTTTTCAATGCATTCCTATGGGAAATGCAGATTCAACATAAGAACTTTTCAACTTGAGAACCACCTTCCATTACGGATTAAGTTCTTAAGTGGAGACCCCACTGTACAAACTGTCCCCTGTCCAGCTCCCTGCTTTCGTGACTGCAGCAAACTGGTTAACTGTTCTGTCATCTTTTGTACATCCAGCTTTTCTTTGTATATAATTTTTTTTTCATCATTTGTATGTCGAATGGTTTGGTAAATTTTTCATCTAATATAATGTCACTACTGCTATTGCAGAACCAATAGCAGAAACATGGCAGTGTGATCAATGAGGGCTGTCAGCATCCAATCAGAATATTGTGGGAGAAACAGGAGGGCCCATAACCCAGCTAAGAGTGGTGTTTTGCTTAGGTTGTTCTTATAGGTGGACTATTATGTGCTGCTGATCTCAATACCCTCCATCTTGTTGTGCTGCCTGCTTCCTTAACTCTGTACTTCCATCTTGGATTCTTTCACGTTTTTGAATCTTCTCTTTTTTATTGTATTTTTGGGGGATTTTCTCCATTTCTTTTTATTATTTCTGTTGTTGCTTGGCCGCATCATATATTGGTGGAGGACTTTGTAATCCCCTCCCCTTTGTATGTTTGCTTGCTTTTCTTGATTCTTGGGAGTGGAATTGTGTGGGCTTTTGTTTTATTTTGCTTTGTTCTACCCTGGGAACATGCTTTCCGTGTTTCTTTGAGTTTTTAAAAATTTCCGTGTGATTTATTTGCTGTGTATTTATTCAGCTAAAGATGTATATGGGGGCAGGTTGGACTTTTTTGTTTCCACCTGTGGGGGTTTGTGAGAATGTGGGGGTAGAATTTGTAACTCTGCCAGTGTGCCACTGGATGGTGTGAATTTCATAATGTGAACAAATGCTTCCATAGCTCTGTTTATTATTTGTCTTTCTAATGTCCTTTTGCTTGCTTTTTGAGTAAATGATTTCTCTGTTGCCTTGAGCCTCTTTAAAGTACTGTAGCTTTTAAGGGTTCTGTAGGGCTGAATCCATTGCTTTCCTCCATACTCCTTTATTATTTTATCCCTTAATTCTCTCAGCCATTTTTTCATTTTCAGCCCTTGCTCACCAGATGAACATGTGGGCCAAGCTTCCGGGCCAGTAATGTGACAAGTTCCAATGCGTGTGTGGAATGATCAAATATTCAGGAGTATTTTTAGATTTAGACTTTTTGACTGCTATCATCACATGACCAAATCACTGTTGTTTTCTTTTTCCAGTGTCTGCTTTCAAAGCCATTTGAACTCTGAGATAATTCTTGATATTTTCACTATGTTAGACCTATTTATTTATCAGGTGCTCTTCCTGGCTTTTTATTTTTCTCACAAAATTCATCATAAACTTTGGAATGGGACTGTCTCGAGTTGCCAACATGTTGAAAGATATCTTATCTTGATTCTGTGCTTCTAATAGTTTCTAATGTGCTTCTAACTCAGTCTGAAGAAGTCAGCAAAGGACTTTTTTAATGACATAATATTGTCATTCACTAACTTTTTTGCAACAAAAGTTGCAGGATTGGGAATTAGTAAAGATCTGCCAAGTCTATTCTAACTATTCTGGGAAAAGTCCAAATACCTTACCTCAGGATTTACCATTAATATTGTCTAGAAACTAGGCTTCTTTATTAGGCAGAGGGGAATACAGCAAAATGAAATGGCAATAATTTGATCAAAGGAGCTATAATTTCAAAACCTCTGTGAGTTATTGCTACATTTAAAGGTGTTATAATTTCTATACCTTTATATGTTATTGCTATATTTTTGGAAAAGCATTTTATTGGTTCTAACAACATATTTTAAGCATTTGAGCATTTTGCTCGGTTTTGATATTTGATATCTTTGTTTCCCCTTGCAGAGCAAGTTAATCTGTTTCCCCTTTTAGGATTATTTTTGTTCCAAGAGGAACAGGTGGAACAACAGCATTTTGAAAAATAGGAAAAGATGACCACAAAAATTGGCAGAGGAACTGCTGCAGGTGTCGTACCTTATAATAAACCATTTAAAAACCACGCAGTCGGTTTTTAATGTTAGGTTTTGACAAAGGATATAATCAACAAATTTGTAATACGTATACTGCCAAAATGCTCATACGGTTAAGGGGAAGAGGGGATGAACACATTACATAGACAGTGTATGGACTGCATAGAACCTTCACTGGTTTTACCTGACAGAAGCTTTCCTTCATTTCAATAAGGAGGTATGTTTTATCCTCACTAAAAAAAGGTAGAGAGGCCACTTCGCTCTACTTTGCCTCAGAAGTGAATAGAAGCTAATACTTTAGGGTTACCAAGTCTCATGTTTGGCCACTGAAGGCTCAGGTTTTGGGCCCACTGTCCTGGTTTCAGGTTAAGGACCTTAAATTTTAGGAAATAGATGTTGCAACTTGGCAAGCCTATATTTTGGGGTTCACTCTCATGGCTTCAGATCACACCATTTAGACATGCTCAAAAGCAGACTTGTCTTTTTCATAATATGGCACATTCTGGAGCTGATGCTAGAATTCACACCTTGAAATTCATCTTAGTGTTTTCATTGATTACCAGCATTTTACAACTGTTGCTGCGAAATGTCCACCCTCTGTGACATCACAAGGGCCTGCCCCTAGATCCCAGGGGCAAAAATCTTAGGAAATGGAATGCTCTTGATCTTTGTCTACACATCCAACAAAATAAAATGTGTGCACTTGGAGACATTATTGAGTTAGGGGCTAAAACTGCCTCTCTGCTCCAGTTTACTTCAGCTTCTTTACGATTTACTATTATTTGCTTGTTCCTTTTATTTTTTCCTGTTTAAGTTTACAAGGACAACTTTAGACCTCAGTAGCTCAGCTCAGATGTCATTTCAAAGTTTAGTAAGCCATAGTTCAGTTTGCGGTGTTTTCTGAACTCACTTCTGGCTGATTTTAACAATGTTTTATTTGAAACAAGCTGACTTCAAACTGTGTTTTATAAATTAGCTTATTTCAACAAACCATAGTTAAGATTAAATGCATAATGCTAAACTGTGGTTTAAAACATTGTGTTCTCTTCCTTACATCATAGTGAAGAAAAAAAAAGAAGATGGGAGATAGGGTGCACACAAGCCCACTATTCACCGAGGCTTCTTTTGGACCACAGCACAACCACATAAACTATTTGTGCTTGTTTGCTGAAGATAATACAGCTGGCCTTCTGCACTCATAATTGTCTGAACCCACTGTAATTCCAGTTCATAAGAATAATGACAGACTTGAGTAGTCACCAAATTAAATGATAGCTGCCTAACAGAAAGCTTCTTTCTTGGACTTAGCCTGAACATGAGCTAGAAGACATGAGGCTATGTTTCTGAAAAGCTAGGTCAGCACTTGATTGTGGCCTTATTTAAAGTTATCTATTATGTTTATTTTATTTGTTAATCCTATGTCCCACTTTCTCTCATGAGCTCAAGGTGACGTACATAGCCTCCATCTTCCCCACTTTACTGGTTATTGCTAAAGTCTTCTTCCTTATATGGTATTCTAGTTTGGATTTAGGGTTTTGTCTGTTGTGGAATCCATACTCTCATATTTTGTGTTTTCTCTCTCTTTTGTGTTCCGTCTGCCTATATGTATACCATCAAGAGACTCTTTAAAAATCCTTTGGGCTACAACTCCTAGAATTCCCCAGCTACATGATCACATTTTATCCCTCCAGTTCTTATTTCTTGAGGCTACTTTTTCAGAAGGACACCTAGATTAGTCTGTGGCCCAAATCCTTTAGTAGTAAATTGCAATTGCTATGTCTGTGTACTAAAAGAAATTATCAGATTACTGTCAAATAAAATCTATTATTGATACTTGATTAATAGTATTCATATACAATATCCTGTATCTGCTGGTCGTAAAATTCGCTCTCCAATTCATCTTCTCTCTCTTTTTTTCACTGAGGTTTATGACATTCATTTGGATAACTTAACTGCTTCCAAGTATCGACTGAGCTTTTCTATGGCTAGATTGAATTGCTTTCCCTCAGCTTTATTGCACAACTGTTTGGGTGAAAGAGATGTTTTTGTACTTCTGGGGTAAAGTAATAGAAATACATGTGTGTATATGTTTTATGTAACAGATAGTGTACATATGTGTGTCTGTGTTTTATGTAACAGATAGCTGCCCACCATCTGTGGGTATGAAGGAGGATACTGAACTATGTGAGATGTGTATATGATCTTCCTGAAGACCAGACAGCAGTAGTAAGCACGTTGTCTTCAAAACCTTTAATGTATAATACAGCTGATGCAACAGGAAAACCATAACACCTAGGATATGGTACAGAAACAGTTTCTGATTAAAACCAGTGCTAACTATGGATGTGTCATAAGATGTATGTTTTTTTCCATTCCAGTTTCTAAAATTTCCAGGAATTCCCCAAGAAGAATTCTGGGAGTTCTAGCCACAGATCCACACCTTCATAAACCTACATTTTGCTCACCAGAACAAGAGCCTAGCTCCATGGCTGTCACAGAAATTTCTTCCTGTTGTTAATGTACAAAGAAACTGCCATGATGCCTATGGGAGTCATAGTCTCAGTGCCCTTTCATGTCTATAGAAGGCACCTCCTAAAGAACTACAATTACTAGGAAGCACAGCAGCATCTTCCTTTTTTGTACAAATGGACCATAGTGAGAGACAATCTCTCTGGGTATGCTTTGAAGATCTAAAATTGATTGCAGCTTGCTTTCAGCACTTCTTGAGTGTGGCTAGTTTAGCACAGGGGATCTCGAAACTCCCAGGTATGTTAGAGTCATCACAAATGTGGTAATTCCCTGGAAATTGTCCAAGTCCCTTCAAAAATATTTGGGCCTGCTCTCTGGTTGCCAAAGTAGAGAGTGACATACTCTGCTCCTAATGAGGTCAAGAACCACACAGGTTAGTTTTAGGGGCAGTTCATCATCTTCTCTGCTATAAAAGATCAATATAGCTTTGTGGGAATAAACCTTACAAGGCTCTGAGATGTTGACACCTTTTGATTCTGGATCTTCCAAAAATCAATAAAACTATGTTTGCTGATGCTTCCTGTACCCTTATTGATAGAAGTAGAAATTATGCTGTAAGGTATGTTGCCTGACTTGCAAGACACATCAGCTATGCTAATGTTGGCATGCCACAGATATGAGTTGTTTGTATCCACCTTACATCTCAGATGCTCTAACCATGCCAGGTCTAGGGATTATTGACACTTTTCTTCCTGGGTGACATTATACTGCTTTTGCACACATTTGAAAAATGGTTTTGCCCTCCACACTTGCACCAAACAGTTCCAAAGACAGTGCGATAAGACTGCAATCTTATAGTTTGTTATTCACCTTGGTTATTGTAAAGTTAAAAATAATTTTTTCTCCCATTTCCTCCAATTCACTTCCAAATTGCCTACCAAGACAGATTGAGAAGGAAGCTTGTAAGACTAAATCTTGCAGTGCCTGTTGTGAGTACAGGCCCTCTGGAAAAAATTGATTCAGGCTTGAGGAAAGTACAGACCCAATTCTGACACCTTGCAGTATTCACTTCCCACATTCTGGGAGTATGGAGGAGGATACTCACTGTGTGAAACATGTACTGCAGTATCTCTTCTGGCCAAAGACCAGAGATAAGGAGTAAAAACGATGCCACCAAAATATCAACACAATAGATACAGACCTGCTTTTCAAACTGCAAAGACGCCAGCCAGTTTAATACAGTTTGGACATTTTCTTGATTTAATTATCACTTTATTTTTATTTTCTTACTTGATGCTTGCCTTTATATCAGAATCTCATTAATCTGTTGGAATATATATCTTTGATGAGTTGCCAGCTCTACTGTTAGGTGCAGGACAGCCTCTAACTTAGGCTGCAGACTTTGATTATCCTGAAAGGGGAAGCAAGTGGTTAATTACTGATTTTCTTTCAGTTTTTACTGCTAGGGATCTGAAGTGGTACTTGTGAGATTTTCTACCCCATGTGTCAAAATGTGAGTAGGCTTGACTGTTATGTACCTTAAAAGGGATAAGGGACATTTGCTACTTGATCTCAAGCAGGAAAATATTTTAGATTATCTGCTTTGATGTTCTTTTCATCTTTCGATAAAGGATCTGAGGTTGTATAATGAAACTGAATAGAACTGTAGGTCAACATGATGTGTTAACATGGCCAGAGAGAAACACTAAGAAATAAATCTATCTAGATAGCAAACTTGAGGTTTTTAAATCTATCTAGATAGCAAACTTGAGGTCATGGAAAGTTATTCCATTCTAGAAAAACTCCCAGAGTTTTATGAAAGTGACATGACAAATCAGTTAATATTTGTAATCTGTCTTCTATACATCATATGAACGTTTGCCACTACAGAACTGGTATAATTCTAAAATATACATTAAACTTATGAGGCCATTTTAAAGAACCAGCGACTCCCCCGAAGACAGGAACGTTAAATTTTAAAGGTATTTAATGTCACCCTGTTTTCAAACTATGAACAAAAGAAGGTTGAGTAAAGGACATATTTTTAAATATGAAAAGTAACTGATGTGGGGAAGATCTCAGGGAGAGAAAGATGTCATTATTAAAGCTACAGTCACCAGCCACAACTCCATGAATTTTTGGTGCATTTAACATACAGTGGTACCCAGTATGGCATTGTGGATAGAGTGATGGACTCAGACTCTGAACACCAGGGACCACTTGGCCATGGAAACTCACTGGGGGAGTGGAACTGGTAAGGCCACTCCTTAATTATCACACTTGCCTTGAAAGCCCTACTATGGTCTCTATAAGTTGGTTCCAACTCAGTGGCACATAACAAATGAACTAACTTAACATCTAACTCCTTGTGCGCAAGCTTTCTATCTTTTCTGCCCAATGAGATGCTCCATGCCAAGCCCTACAAGATGCAGGGCTATTGGCCATATCACATAGGCCTCATCTCAGCTAAAGATGCATGGTACTCTAATCCTTTGGCAGTGTTTTTTTGATTTCAACTTTTATATTAAAATATTTTATTCCTCTTCCCAAACAATGAGAGGGCCTCACAATGTGAAATGTCCTCAGCCTCATCTGAGCTCTCCGAGGGCCTGCTCAATGCTGCAAAAACTCTCTCTGTGCTCTTTGATTTGTAGTGGTTCATTCCCAAGTGTAAGTCACCATGTTTACATAGTGCTGTAGAAATCCAAATTATGAATATGCATGCAGGTACATTAAGACTGAATCTCATTCTACTTATTGCAGTAATGTTTGGATCCCAGTTCTTTGTTTTGTTATGTGCCTTCTGAGGGCTCAGTCTGAAATGAGAGTTAAATGTAACTTCACAGAATTAAATAGATAAACAATAGTTTTCCCAATGAGGTTTGTTTGGAAACAAGGGTGGACGAAGCTACATTTATAATTTAGCCGCCTAGTGTGGTCCGTTTGGACCAGATAGGCGGGGTATAAATCAAATAAATAAATAAATAAATAAATATAATTGTCCTTTTTGTCCAATCTTTAAAGTTTTAAAACTTTAGACATGAAACACTTTCTAGAACCAGCCTGTTGCCTTTGCATCTCAGTGTATCTTCTAGATCAGTGGTCCCCAAACTTTCTGAAACCACAGACCGGTGGGATGGGGGGTGTGCTCCCGGGTGGGCATGTCTTGCTCGCGGTGTGTGTGTGTCATGGTGACACAACATGCCCATGAGTGCAACATGTCCCCCACAAGTGCAACACACCCCTCTTAAGCACAACACCCCCCCCACAAGTGTGACATGCCATGCGTGCAGGGGCAAAGATCCATCTCCGCAGCCCAGTCCTGGGAAGCCCAAGGACCGGCACCGGGCCGTGGACTGGAGGTTGAGGACCCCTGTTCTAGATAGAGTTCTTCTAGGGTTTTCTAGATGCAACATAATTTCTACCTTTAGCTTTTTGTTGTTACTGATTGACAGGAGGTCAGGAGTTATTGGGACTAGTGTCCTAGCACTAAAGTGCAGATAATTTTAATCTTTTCCATGTTTTAATCTTTTAATTTATTTTTAAATCATATATTGTTTCATTTGTTTTTTAATATTTAACTTACTGTGTTTTTAATTGTGTGACTTTTAATGTTCTTTGGGTCCCTTGTTGGGAGAAATGTGGCATCATCATCATCATCATCATCATAGGGAGATTTTGCCTCTATTTCAGGACTTTGCAAGTCCTTTACTAGAGCTGCCCTTGCTTTCTTGACTGTTACTTTCTAGCTGTCTTGGTGCTTTAGTGCCAAAATGACTGAGGAAACAAGGTGGGCTGCTTGACCCATACAGGTTTATCTTATGCCCCTTAGCAGTGGTTGTTTGAGATCGCAGCTTCATTCTATTTAATGCCAAGGCAGACCTAGTTGTAATATAATAGCTGCCATCTACCGAGCACAGCCCCAAAGTTCTGGAAGCCTGTGCTTTACTTGTTGATGTCACACACTGAAGTGGTTGTGAGTATTGGGACCTCTTAATTATTCATAAGAAAAGTTCATGCCTTTGTAAATTGCTAGCAAATGTGTGGAGTTTTTCACACCAAAACGTCAGGCCCCCTGGTGTACAATTGTTCTTGTCAAGCATGCTGAAGTCAAACCAATGTGATGTTTCTAGGCCAAATCTGCTTCTTTTTCTCTTTTTCACAAGAGGTGACAAAAACTGTGCACGTATTTTAAATTATTAACTCACAACTTTTTTTAAAAAAAGACATTTATTGTGGAAATAGCTTTCTCATTGGTCTCTTTATTTCTGTAGAAATACTCCTGAAACCAGAGGTAATTCAACGACTACTTCACATGTATCAGCAGCCTCAGGGCGTCACCCGTAGATGTTTCTCCCAGTGCAAATTTCTCTATACCGTAACCTGGCATTTAAATTGGTTGTTGCAGATCAGACTCAGAAATGTTTCATTATCCTGAGAAGGTGCATTTCATCTTTCCACATATCGCACAGGCCCCCTTCCCCCTCACCCTTCCCTGCCATTATCATCACTGTCTTGTCATCACTTAAAAAATTGGCAAGTGAAATAGTGCTGAACTGTCATGACATGGCAAGGATTTTAACTAGTGCTCTATCAGTTTGGTCCTATAGCATACCTTGCCACAATACTAAACTAGGAGAAAAAAATATTTTTTAAAATATATCTTACAAATGGCATTACTGTTGTATTCCTTACATGTAAGTAGAAGACAGGTGAAAGGAGTACTGTACCATTCACTCCCACATAACACCTCACTTGGTGCATCATCAGTGATATCCTCTGGACAATGGCTATAAAGGACCAGTATATACAATCACGTGTGAGGAAAGTCAAAGGAAAAAATAATTTCACTGGAACACTAGAAAGAAACACAAGCCATGCTCGGCAAACAAAATGTTGTACATACTCATGCCAAAAGATTGGATTTTCTTGAAGTTAGCATTAATGTCATATGTCACAGTTTTTACAAAGTATAGATTCCCTTTCCCACTGTTTTAATTTAAAAGCAACAC